AATCAATCAATCAATCAATCAATCAATCAATCAATCAATCAATCAATCAATCAATCAATCAATCAATCAATCAATCAATCAATCAATCAATCAATCAATCAATCAATCAATCAAATAAAATATGCCAGTTCCCTACAATGCATTTCCTTTACAACTACCAGTGATAAAACTGTTGGGAACAGGGGACAATGAAGTTTAGAAGGATTTGGGGAAAAAAGTTTAACTACTGGGGTGGGCCGATGTATTCATCTTTAACTAGATAGACCTAGCTAGCATAGTCATTGTTGAGGTATCAGTCCCACAACATCTGGGAAGCCACTGTTTTCCCACTCAGCAGTACCTTGTTCATTATATTCCTGCCCTGTACATGACGAAGGGAAAGAAGAGGCAACCCTGCTATGAGATTCCAAAACATCAACTCACCTCACCAGTACCTGCATTCAAAACAGCATTGATAAAGGACATGATGGCAGTTTTGAGATTCACTTCATCTCGATATCGCCCCATGCTTCGGTCTAGCTCATTGAGTAATGACTGTGAAGCAAAAGATATGAGAAAATAACGCCTGCTATGATGTCAGCACTGTCTCTTCCTTATGAAACACATAAGTTATTACCCTGAAATGCTTAGAAGAAACTACACAAAAGCAAACAGATAGGTTGGTGAAGTCCACTTTACCGACCCAGTTGTACAGCTGAAATGTCTGGAAAATGAATAGGACAGAGGTGGTGCATTCAGTAAAATTCAGAAATATCCTCATTTACCTTTAAAAACGGCTTTCAGCAATCTTGTATCTCATTATGGTAATCAATATAGCATTTGGTTGCTTGGTGATTCTTGTACTTATAATGAGATTCTTTAGTCATAAATAAGAAAGAGTTCAATATTCCTTAAGTGCATTGTTTAATATATGGTATCAGTACACGAAAAGAGAAACAAAACATATTTGGAAGAAAACAATTGCCTTTAGAGTAGGTAAAAAAAACAAATGAATTATGATACTCCACATTTAAAAAAAAAGTTTCTATAAAGCATTCTCAATGGTCTCATTCAGTCTATAAATAAGACTCAAGTCAAGTCCTTTCTCCAGTCTGGTTACAATGAGACTCAGTTTTTATTTTTGTTTTTAAATTAGCATTATGTCCCAGACTGGACAAACCATGCTTAGTTTTAACTATGGTTTCCTGAAACATAATAACTGCAAATGGTGCCTCATGAAGCTGTCTTGTTTCACTTGGCTGGATCAGATGTAAGGCTAAATCATAGTTTGGCATTATGAAAATGACCTAGTGTTCTCCTTAGCCACCTCAGGCTCATGAATGTCTCTTTTCTCCTTTTCCCCTCGGTCCTGGTTGTGAGAGAAGTTCAGATAATTTCTGTTAAATGGACTGCAATTTGTGTTTCTGATCTTATCCCTGCTAAAAAACACAGCAAATGATCCTGGGGGAGGGTAAACTCATAACGCTACATTAGAATACAGCTAATACTGTAGATATGTCATTGGTTTAGTTTCAGAGTGGACATGTAAAGGCAAACTATGACTAGTTGAAAATGGAAGTGAACGGAAGAGGAGAATGAATAGCTCAGTTTTACATCTAAGCAAAGCTGGTTAAGTTTGCACTTAAGCTAACATTTCAAGTAGAGACTTCAAATTCATACCTCATACACTACATAGCAGACTTGTTTTTTCCAACACTGAGTGAACAAACTAAGGAAATCTGTACTTGAGGCTTAGTAGCCTGTGGATAGGGATTAACAGTTCTCCCACACCAGCATTCTATTCCTTGATTCTTCTGAAAGTTTGCTCTGCACCATGTTGGATTTCTTCTTAAAAGTGATTTAATAAATCAACTTAATTCTGGAACCAAATTGTGCCATAAGCTCAAGTATCTCACAAGGCTTATTCAGACATTCACCTGAACATCATCTGACTAGGTATGAGGTAAGGGTATGGTCATGTACGTAAGCCCCGCCCACATTGCTCTCAGACAGCCAGGAACATTACAGAAGCTGAGCATAAATTCTGATTCATCCACTGGCTAAATCAAGTATCAGTCACATCTAAAGTATACCCATTGAAAGCTATAAATTCCAGTTAGTAGCAACTAGGAAGTCCTACTTAATTTATTCAGGTCTACTCTATCTAGAAATAGGTTGGCTTTAGTCCAATATGTACAACCACATTAGCACTAGTTTTCTGCAGTGTTTTACCAATGTGGGTGTAATGGTAATGATGCAATGACAACGTAAAGAAAAAATGGAAATGAAAATCCAAATAATGGTTCCACTCTAAGAATCACACCAATTATTTGAAAATTCTAAAATATCATCATCGTCGTCATCATCTTAGAACTGTGGAACTGTGGAAGGGTCCCTATGGATTGTCAAGTACAGTCTCTATAAAGAGGTACAGAGGGCAATCAAACTCCTAGTCTTTGGCTCCACAGCCAGATACCTAAACTACTGATCTATCCAGCACTTATTATTATTGTTGTTGTTGTTGTTGTTGTTGTTGTTGTTGTTAGCACTTCACACTAAACCCAAGATAGGCATTACACAAACAAGCCTGAGTATTAGGATCAGAGGCTGTTTTTTCCTGACACCTTTGCCTGCAACTTCTGCAAAGAGGAGACACTACTTTCTCTATGTACACATGAACTAATAATAGAATTTAAATGCAGACAATTTGAAAAGCACACCTAGTAGCTATCGCATAAAGCAGCAGAGGTTCAAGACAAATTACAACTCTTGTTTGGCATGCCACTAGGTTAAGATTAACACACATCTCAACAAGTTCATTGACCAGCACTGAACTAGTATCTTTTTGAAATCAGACAGTGTTCAGTTGTTTTTGCACTCCAACACACTCCTTATGTTTACAATGAAGTACACTTCATCTCCATAGCAGATTTTCATCTCTAAGCCTGTTCCAAGAACTGTAAATGTTAAGTCCTCTATTCCTCAATAGGCAACCAAGAACAGGACTGAGTTTTGTGTTCCTTGCCATCTGAAACTGCCTCTGACCCAAGGCATTTGGACTACAACCAAATTCAATATTTTTGCACTTGCTACAACCATTTCTTCAAGTTATTATTCTTCCCCCCCCTTCCCTTCAGGTTTTTTAAAGGGAAAAAGCACTTCAAAATACAGCAATTTAGATAAAAACAACAGGAGGACTGCAAGTGCCAATTTGATTCCTAGTGACTTTGCAGGCACTGAAAATACAGAATATTTTGGTCTCCTTAAAATTACATGAGGAGAAAGAGGAGGTCTTCTATCTTCCCTCTTGTACTTCTTATTTTACTGAAATTATCAGAGGAACACATGCTTTTCTGTTCTTCCAGACACAATGTGGTCTTATTATCTGTCAATGTTACATAAACCGAAACATGCATACTTTTCTTGTGAAAAGGACCAGAATGAAAACAGCTATTTAAAACATGAACATTAGCTTCAATATCATGGATGGGTAAGATCTGGAAAATCAAGACAGAAATTCAGTCAATACAAAGGACTGGGTAAAAAGAAATGGTTAAATATATGTAACTCACAGAATTTGAAGAAACTGCATTACAAAAAGAAAGTGCAGGAGAAGATAATGAAAGAGATAGTAAGAAAAAATTATAAAACGTTATTGGAAGAAGATCATGAAGATATCCTTGAAATATTTTACAAATTGTATGGAAATACAATTTGGGAGAAGAAATAAGTTCCGGAATTTGGGGGAAATATGTGGGATATAGGAATATTAAAATCTATGTCTGTTAAGGATAAAAGACATATAAGTTAGTTTGCAAAAGGTACTTAACTCTGATGAAATTAAATCAAATAGAGATTAATTCTTCCAAGCTCATCTGAAAAGGTAGTCTGAAAGTGGGTACTTATTTGCATATGTGGTGGGAATGTGAGAATATATTGAAATTCTGGCAACTGGTCTTTAAGGAAATAAATGAAGTAACTAAGTTAAATTTAGAGGTATGTTGTAAAATAGCATTTTCCCCAATATTTGATCCGGAGAAATGTAATTGGACAACCAAAGAACTAATTTCTAATTTATTAAAAGCACAAAATTATTGTAGCAAAGGACTGGAAAACAACATAAGTTTGGGATATTGCAATTAATGAAAAGCTAATGTATAATATTAAACTTAAGAAGGGGTTCATTAGTAAGAATATATTTATAGATTATATGGGGAGAGTTCATTGATTATGCATTAATAAAGGAGAAGGAACAGACATCTTTCGAAGATGAAATTTTGCAATTTTGCCATTAGAATAAGGCTCCACAAGAGGAGAAAATAATGGTTATAATTCTCAAATGGTCCCATTGGGCTTTGCCTGTTGTTTAATTGTTAAGCCATGTTAGACTCTTCATGACCCCATAGACCAGAGCACTCCAAGCCCTCCTATCTTCCACTGCCTCCCGGAGTTTGGTCAAATTCATGTTGGTAGCTTCGGTGACACTGTCCAACCATCTCGTCCTCTGTCATCCCCTTTGCCTACTCCTGAACTAATGTCATTATTGATCAAGAAGCATGACTAATACTATTGCTAAGGGGTCACATGAGTTTGGAAATTAAATTCCTTGAACCTGAAAAGTACTGAGTTAATTAGCAGTGAGGTAACGGAATGCACAGATCTTCCCTATTTATTGATTTATTGATTTATTGATTTATTGATTTATTGATTTGCATTTTTTGGTCTTTCATTTTGACAGACTGAAACTAGCCATAGCCTCACAATAACTCTCAGAACATCTTAAACCCTCCTTTGTCACGTTCACTCTGTTCATCCATAAAGGGAGAGCCCAAATGTTTCTTCTATGAAACCAACCCACAATTTCATCTTCAGTTATAAAAACCAAGACCAAAAGAATGTTCTACTCCACAGTGTCTACTTATCTCTGATATGTCAGCTGAGGCTTTTTAAAAAATAATGTTTACTATTCAGGAAAAAAATGTTAAAAACATTTTTGCTGTTAATGCTAAATATCCATTTGTAGAATCCTGGGCTGAGGGACAATATCCAGGGGGGAGATTAGGGAGGGAATGATGGGAAGACAAATCTGTTGATTAAAATCAGCTTAAATCAGCAAGTTTCAAACTCTGTGGAATATTCCATTCTCTGGCTGAATCTAAATGATATTGTTCAGATGACAGGAGGCATTTCCTCTAAGAACTGTAGCTGGGAATTGAAGGATTTCTATGGTATTTGCAAAGCCTCAGTTGTGCCCATCATATATAAATCTAAGGGTATGAAGTATACTAACTCAGCCACTCAGAAAAGATCCTCTCTCTCTGAATCAAGAATGATTCTAAAGAAGAGCCAAACATTCTCAGATTATTTTTTCTTTATCCTTGAGAAAATGTCCTCAATTTTAATTTTCCTCACTAATCCTCAGAAAAGCACTTTGCATCACTTTCTTTTGTTATCTCTAACATTATTGCTTTTCATAACACAGCTCCTGCCACAAATGCTGTGACCCAGAAAGCTGCTCAGTAGAGGGCATCGTGAAACAATCCCAGTCTTGGGCACGCAACCCTTAATGGTCACCTTCCTCCAGTGCCTCTAAATTCTCACTGCCATTGGTCCAAAAACTACTTCTCCTCTTTTTTCTTATCAGTGCTATTACTTGATATTAAAAATTTCCATAAATTTGAAAGACATGCAGAGAGAAAAACACAACACATTGCTTCAGGGGAAAACTGAGATTTGGGGCATAGTTGACATAAGCAGTACATTAGCAATACAAAATGCTTCAATCATAATTTAGGTAACGTATGAAATAGTACTGTTTGGCATATTTATGGAATTTGAACATAAAAAAGCCTTTGTAAATGCAAAGTTGTAGAAGATATACATATAGCCTTTCACAATATGCTTTTATTGGAATTCCGAGTAAACAAAACCTTGCCTTAAACAGGGTTTCACTCAATCCAAAAGCAAACATATTTTATCAAGTATTATCAGGCATTGGAGAGAGTGTTTGTGTGTCTATAAACTATCAGCCACTGTTCTCTGCTTGTTCTGCGTGCGTGCGTGCGTGCGTGCGCGCGCGCGCGCGCCTGCCTGCCTGCCTGCCTTTCTGCCTGCCTGCCTGCCTGCCTGCCTACGCTTTGCTGCTCAAAAGGAAATGACACACCATTTGCGTAGACATCTTGCAGAAATTACGGAGACCTGATGAAAACCCTGTCTCACTCTTCTTCCTCAAACAGAAGAATTGGAGATTGCAAATTCTTCACCCAGGTGCTTCTTCGAGACAAACTAAACCATTCAGAAGGAAAAATCTGATGAGAATCGTTTCCCTATTGTTTTGCTCGACTGGTGAGACCCAGTGAGCAAGCAGGTGATGGCATACATACTTCCTCTCACTCACTCCTTTCCACCATTCTTGCTTGGGACAGAGTGACAGCATAGTGAACCAGTAGGTTGCAATAGGGAAGAGGAAAAACAAATCCAGGAGGCTGTTTTCTGAGAACCCTTTCTGGGCTGTGGGCTCTTAACAACTGCCTGTCCACATCAACTACTGTCACCAGCCCTGTTGTGGGTGAGACAAAATGTTGGTCAAACCACTAATAGGGTTGGAGCAGCAGGAGGGGAAAGGGAAAGAAGGCTACTTTGCATCATGTACTGCTGACTATGTCACACCCCCTAAGAACCGATCCTCCACCAGAAAAATTAAGAGGAAGGATGGGCAAAGTACCTCAATATACATAGATGTTTATCTACATGTAAATCGGGTAGATAACTTTGAGAGGTCATTTGTGCAGAGTCTGGTTATTCAGTACACTTTCAGAATCTGCAGGCAGATACAGTAAACACTGGTCAGGCAAACATAAGAGATTCACGCAAACTGAAAACTTTCCTTTACAAAATTCTTAACTGCTGAAATCGAGGCAATGTTCCTTAATTTCTTCTGGATTCTCTCTTTCTCAAAACTGCTAGATTTTTAGATCTAAGCTATAATCAGAGCTTGGGGAAGTTGTTTGTTTAGACTACACCTCCCACAAACCTCCACGGGACATGTTAGTTGGGGCATTCTGGGAGTTGTAGCCTGAGCAAGTAACCTTTCCAAGCTCTCACTCTCACAACAAACACTAGCATATACAGTTTTTATAATGAGAGAATCAGCCCAGACTGGAATAGTAGAATCTGAAACCTTACATCTGTTATGTCTAACATCAGCACTTCTCATGCCAGGAGTCAAAGACAGAAAGAAAGACTGGAGGCGTCCAAGTTACCTTGGATGAGTTTAACTTTAGCCTCTTGGAAGGAAAATTTTTGGAAATGACAATTCTGGCAGTCAGATGCGAACATCCAAACAGAGAGAGAGAAAAAAAAACTGAAACAGGAGCAAGTCTTCATTGCTTCCAAGAAAGCAAGAAGGCAAAAATCCATATTTAATTCCCTTTTTCCCCCATCCAAAAATATTTGACAAGAGTAATTATTTGTGCATTCCACACATGCATGGATGTGATAGTAAGTTAGTTCCCTTGGGGCTCACAGAAGCTTCTGAAAAATATTAACGGCAACATATCAAAGGTCCAGCTGTATGCCGTATGAGTTGTCCTAGCCTATTTTGCTTCAGAAATTACTGATCATGATACATACACACTTTCTCAGCAACTTCCACCCAATTTTAGATACTGAGACAAACACACTCAGACAAATATAGAAGATAATGCATACCCTGTGGTACAGATATCCAGAGGGGGCAATGGTTTTGGATGAGACCACCTCTGTATTGTTCTGAAGTTATTCCTGGCCTTCAGAGTCATTAAGCATATCAAGACAGCAAATTGGGGACATGGGCATTAAAACAGGATGGAATTTTGTCAGGGACAGGTACTATCAAAAATCTTATCAAACACACAAGTTCATCCTGAGCCATCTTCACTCAAAACAAAGACAAGCTTCTAACCAACCTCCTCAGACATTACTATTGTGCACAAAGTGATGTGATTCAGTATGCAATAGGTACTGCCTATTAACTTATATCAATTCACCTCCAAACGTTGTACCTTTTGTATAACAGCACAGTAAGATTTCAGCCTACTGAACTGCAAGATAGAGAGGTGAGGAAAAGCAAATACCATTACAAACAAAATTCCCCTACCACTAAAAGACCATCTCTTGTAAATATGTACTAAATATACTGTATCTACCTTAGTCCAGTGTTGCTCATATGTAGAAAAAATAACTATAAGCCCATTCTAAAAATAACATCAAGAACTATTTGCTGGACCTGCCACTTTTACCTGGAATCGTGTTCTCTCTGCTGCGTAGACCTGGTAGTGTTGCATGGCCTGCAGAACTTTTTTGTGTCCTCCTGGCACTAAGCAAACAGCTCCAAGAATTTCAAGCACAGCAATCTTAGTTTTGATATTCTCAGTCCGTAAACTCTGAGAGATTATATTGATGCTTTCAGGATGGGCTAGGACATGCGCTCGTCCTTGAGAGTTATTCATCAGAGCCTTGATGCATCCTATAACGGATGTGTGTATGCGGCTCTCTGAGGTCTCATAGTCCATACTCTTCAGGAAGTTCAGCAAGCAGGTGAGGCCATCCAGCTCGATAAACCGTATAACGAATCTGAACAGAAACAACAGAAGAAAATAGGATTAAGACAATTTCTACAAGAGGTGGCTGGTTATTTCATGGAACACCTGCTTTCTGGTGGTGTTCTGAAAAACCTGGAAGGACTAAGAAGCAATGAAAACAGCCAATGATCTTTCCTAACATTTTACCAAAGCTGCGATGAATACATGCATTTTCAGAAGATATGCGTATGTTTCCCACAGATCAGGTATGTATGACAGATTTATTGGATTTATGGATTTATTTTCAGAAGTTATTTCAAAGGTTACCTGAAGGACCAACTACATACTTAAGTTAGAAGAGAAGACTGCCTCATCTAGTATCTAAGCCAGAAAATTGCTGCTATTCTCTGGAGGCTCTTTATCAGGAGGTAGATAAATCGTATCTACTGGTGTAGGAGCCAGCAATGAAGGTTAATCAAAGCCTCAGTCATTAGAGGCCATTGCTTTGCATTAAAAATAGAATAATAAGCAATGAAGCCTATAATGACCCTCATTTTGTAGTTGTAACTCAGGAAAAATGATGCATTATTTCCCCCTGCCCTGACTCTTTCTGAATCATGGGATTCAGTGTACTGTTATATTATTCTATTATATCTCATAGCACTTTGAATTTCTGATTAAACTACCTGTCTTCTCTGCACTCCAGGCTTCAAAACACAATCATTTTTGCCTTCTTAGATTTCCTTTGCAAAATCAAATATGACAGTCCTGTGGTGCATAACTGTGATTGAAGTACTGTATTATTCTCTACAATAGTTTTATTTCTCTTAGTTGCTTTACTCAGTTTACAAGACTGGTCAATTTCAAATGGCTGCCTAACATCCCAAGCAGGGCTGAATAACACAACAATTTGAAGTTTGGTTGTTATGGGTTTTTCAGGCTGTTTGGCTGTGTTCTGGAGGTTTTTCTTCCTAACGTTTTGCCAGTCTCTGTGCCTGGGGTCTTCAAAGGATAGGAGCTAGAACTCTGTGTTCTGGTGTAGTGTGTGGGATTGTGGAGTATTTGTAGTACTGGGATCAGGTTTTTGTTCTTTTCAGGAGACTGGGTGTTTCCTGTGATCAGGGTGTTTTTTGTTATGGGTGTTTTGTTGTCATAAGGGGGCAGATGATCTGTCATTGACACTCATCAATCAAAGTGACAGATTATCTACCCCTTATCACAACAAAACACCCTGATCACAATAATTACTCAATCTCCTGAAAAGAACAAAAAACTGATCCCACAGCTACAAATATTCAGCAATCTTACACACTACACCAGAACACAGACAGAGTGAGCAGTCTTACACACTACACCAGAACACAGAGTTCTAGCTCTTGGCCTCTGAAGATGCTGGCCACAGAGGCTGTTGATACATTAGGAAGAAAAAACCCAGAACACGGCCAAACAGCCAGAGAAACCCAACAACAACCATTGGATCCTGGCTGTGAAAGCCTTCAAGAACAAATTTGAAATTTATTAGTATACGAGTCTGAAACTGACAAGACTAACAAAAAGATACAGGAATCCTACAGATGATACTTTAGGTTCAAGGAACAGAAGTCTGTCAAACTTAATCTTCTGCACAAAATTAATGAAAAGGACAAAAGAAAAAGCCTCCTGGGGTATTAAGATCACCAGGAGAGGCCTTTCTCTTGGAACAGGTGCTTTTGGTGGGGACACGGGAGTGAGCCTTCTCTGTTGATGCTCCCAGACTCTACAATTCCCTCCCACAAAGGCCAGGTTGGCTGTTCCTCCACAAGCAGGTGAAAACCTCTGTCTTAAGGCAAGCTTTCCCTGAGTGAATGGTTGCCAAGTGGGATTATTTAAATGGACTGTTGTGCACTGGGTATTTTGGTTTTGCTTACCTTGGTTTTTTTTTGGGGGGGGGGATAATTCCCTGGTGGACAAAATGTCAAAGATCACCAAGACTGAAAATATTGTCAGCTATTCATTATATCCCTAGTCTGCTTACAAGACATTAACATATCATATAGGAAAATTGATTATGGACAATACTAATTGAAGTTGGACAGTGTCATCGAAGCAACCAATATGAATTTGACACAACTCCGGGAGGCAGTGGAAGATAGGAGGGCCTGGCGTGCTCTGGTCCATGGGGTCACGAAGAGTTGGACACAACTGAATGACTAAACGACGACTTGAAGTTATGATTACTCCGATTCTGATTATACAAGAACACTACTGATTTCTAACTTCCACCTGGTTAGTCCAGAAATAATTTCCCTGTTCATCCAGTCTGTCTTAGGGAAGAGGGAACCGAACATGTTAGTTGTGATTTTGGTGGGTCTGCCTTAAAGTAGAACAACTACTGCCCTTACTAAGTACAGTGTCCACACATTTTCAGCAACATTGTTCCTCACGCTGTCATAGCATCTCTCTAGGGTTGCACTACATCTGATTCACATGCAGTTTTGAGAGTTGGCAGAAGGAAATCATAAAATCTTCCATTGCTCTGAACTGCCTTCTTAACATCAGACATAAATAATATTATTCATAAGCCTTGCTTTAACTCCCAAAACGTAAACACTATATATACCAGAAATATGAAGGCTGCATGTGCTGGATATGGGCTACACATTCTTTAAAAAAAAAACAATTTAAAACTTTTCTAGAACTTGGACTGGATACACTTATACTAACTCATCATCTCTCTCTTTTTAGGAACTTCGTTCCAATTGGTTTTGTCCAGAAACCACGAAAAATCAAAACCTTATTGAGTAAAAGAAAGTTCAGTATGAGGTTTGGTGCTTGTTCAAGCTCAAACTTGTCCATGTGCTCAAGCCTTGGGAGTAAACACATAATGCCACAAATGGTTACACAGAAGTGCGTCAAACAGCAGTGATATGCTAATCACTCCTGAGAATAATAGGATTCCTTTCCAACATTAGCTGACGTAAGCAACCAAAGGAACATTAATTTTAAGGGGTTTGCTTTGTTTTTGGCCTTCCACTTCTAGTTATTTTATTTCTTTTCTTTGTGTAAGAATTAAATGCATCTCTGCAGTCTGATGCTGGTGTTCACCTGCATCTATACAGATGTCTATTAGAGACACATTTTCAAATGCCTCCCATGTTTCGGTGTATGGCTGACTATGGTGATCAGAAGTAGTGCTTGTTTACACTGTAACTTACAGATGGGGAATGCATGGTTCTTCAGCTACTCCTCAGCTTCAGCTTTCATCAGCCCTCATCACTGACCATGCTGGTTATGGGAACTATAGGCTGACAAAGTCGGGAGGACCACACATTTTCTAGCTGTTCTTCTGTAACAGTTCTTTATAGCTTAAACAGTGTGGGGCCTAACTATGGCACACATGGAATTTGTGGTATGCCTAGGCAGACCAGGATGGAGCTGGACTCACCTATGCCACAGAGCAAGAGTGGGTGAATGTCAAATCTTCTGGTGAAATTCAGCTTTCCTGAGGCCTCAATCCAGCCACAGGAAGTCAAACCCTTTCTTCACAGTATCATCACTGCTGGTTTCTCCATGTCTATATGCATTTCCTCTCCTCACCATTCTAAAAAGCTGAAATGGCACTCAGACTCCATCTTGTAAGATCTAGTTACTGGTCACAAGTGTCTTATGCAGTTAATTTTTGGTCCTATTGCTGTTCTAGGACTGGAACCCCACCCCACCCCCATGAGTATCTCCAATACTGAATCTGGACTTGAAGCTGAAAGTTTCATCACTCTTGTTATGCAGTAGGAACAATATATTGGCTTTTCATGCTAATGCTGCACTGCCAGGATATTACCAGCTTAGGTCTTTGGAAGATAAAGAATATAAAACTGGTTTAGAGCTACACCACTTCAAGCTGAGAGTGTCAATTCCCAGGACTGTGTGTTTCTTCCTGCATTTTTAAAAATTCCCTCACAAAAAATAGTTTCAAGAGAAAGAGTTTTGGTCCTGTTCCCCCCCCCCCCGCCAGCATCTAAAGCAGGGAACAGAGAACTATTTTGTGTGGTGAAGCAGACTCACTTCAGTGGTGCCAGTGGCGGCCAAGTCCATGGACTCCAGGTTGTTAGAATTACCAAGAATGTACCTTATTGCAATTGAGGAATCAACAGAAACACTGTTGGCTGTTGTGGGTTTTCTGGGCTGTTTGGCCTTGTTCTTAAGGTTTTTCTTCCTAACGTTTCACCAGTCTCTGTGGCCGGCATCTTCACAGGACAGGAGTCAGAACTCTGTGCAGAATGACAGTTTGTGGGATACCTCTGAAGATGCCAGATGTGTGAAACATTAGGAAGAAAACCCTTAATAACACAGCCTAACAGCTAAAAAAACCTACAACAACCGTCGGATCCCAGCTGTGAAAGCAAAAAACCTACAACAACCGTTGGATCCCAGCTATGAAAGCCTTCGAGAATACATAGAAACACTGTTCTTAACTCCCTCTGGGAGTTTCTGGAAGGGTGAAATACTGTTAACTCCCTCTGGGAGTTTCTGGAAGGGTTGAGTTCCCTGCATTAACCCCCCAGGGTTAAGAGGGTGCCCTGTCAAAGCCACAGGGTGCCCTGAAACTGCTGGCCCCTGAGAGTGGGAGGGGAAGATGAGTCGAAGCCCTCGTCAGAGACTTTTCAAGGATACAGCTGGTGAGGGATACTCAACTTCTTTTGGAGCCTCTTCTGTTTCTCACGCTGGCACTTTTGTCACTAGCACTACAGCTGGGTCAGAGTAAGAGCCACTAGTCATGCTGGACAATGCAGATGCAAAGGTCATGCCAAAGGTGCAGTGGGCTCCTGGAGTCCTGGCCCTGAGGTCTCTTGTCCACTGCCCCTTACTCTACCCAATGGGTGGGACTCAGGGACTTCAGCCTGGGGCTCCTCTTCCTAGTCACTCTTAACCTCATCTGAGACACAGAATTGGGCAACTCAAGCCTCAGCAGCTTCTCCCTTCTCTTCCTCTGAAGTCTCCGTCTTTCCCTTCATTTCCCTGAAGGAAGCACCAAGTCCTCCTAGTCTTCCTACTTTAACCCACCCACTGCCTCAC